CCCACTCTCCATCAATTCCGACCTTTTTGCATACACTATTGAAAATATCACGTTATGCTATAGGCTACATGCCGTTAGGCAGAGGGCTCTTTTGAGCCCATTTTTCGTTACAAATTTTAGGATGATCTCACGGAAATCTGTGAATAAATACAAAGTTTTCAAACTGAAGTCAGTGACGGGAAGACATCACACTTTTTAGAGATGGAACTGCAGAAAAACCTAAAACCTTGACATGATTATGAATAATAGAATTATGGACGTTTCTCCGTTTTTGTGGATTAGCCTTTCCATAACTAACGTCAACTACTGTCCTACTTTGGTAAGATTGAAATTAATGTCTTTGACTGTCTTTAGTAGGTGTCTCCTGTGAGAAAGTTAGAACACCGTCCAACTGTCTAAAGATGCAGTCTTTAGCCTAACTGGTTGTTACTGACTCAGCGATGCTCGCAGACATTTACGCACTGTGTTGTGACCTGATTGTGACAGAACAGTGACGTTGTTATTGGTAGTTTGAAGGGTACGGTGTTGGGGGTGGTGCATGTTAAAAGTTTTGAGAAGCACTGGTTAGACATGTTAATTTTTTTTGGTGTAACATATTGGCAACATTAACACATTAATTTGCTAAAGGAAAAATAGGCAGTTCCCAATTGCCTGTGAAAACGACCATTCTGCCCTGTTCTTGTAATGACCACAGTCAGTCTTATTCGTTCTCATACATTTTGGTCTATTTATTTACTAATTTCAGCAAGCATAATGCCTAGGAAAGAGGCTGAGAAAGGAGAAAATAAAAGTCAAATTGCATTTAACCTGTGCGATTTTTTTATTATAAAAAGAAAAGGTTTTCCACATATGCAAAAAGTGCCCTTTTTTCCCCCTGGAGCACTTGCCCCCCAAAATGTCTGTGCACGCCACTGGCGCTGAGGTACTGATATTTATGTAAATGTAGTGAGTAAAAGCAAAAGGTTGCCAGAAAAATAAATACTCAAGTAAAGTACAGATACCTGAAAATTGTAAATACAATATCACAAGTCACCAACAGCCTACACAGTGAGTAGGCAGAGAAAAAGGGAAAAAACCTTCAGGTTACTCACTTAAACAGAAAAGAGAACATTTGCTGCGTGAGCTCGGGATATGTCTCACTGCTGATTTGTAGCTTTGAACTGGTACACATTTCTCGCAGCACATCCTGTTTGAAAATGTGACATTTACTCAGGGATTGTACTCGATGTAGGGCTTGACTCATATCTTGACGAATGGCTGTGGCTCATGGGGATTCCTTTATCCACTGGGGAAGCCCGGGTGTGGCTTCACACCTCTGTATAATTGCTTTGGGCTTGACTCAAGAGACTTTAATTGAATTTCTGGAGGAATTTTTTTTCCCCTTATCATTTGTTGCTTTGATGGACTACCTCATCTCAACTTTTTGAATGGGCTCTAGTTAGGACCCAGTATGTCCGGATTCTAGGTTATCTGAGTCAAGTGCCGAATACACAGATATGCTGAAGCATGTTTTAAGGATGCCTTCCTGTGGTTTGTGTGCTTTGACATTTACAAACACGTGGTTGCCTTATTAATGCTTTAATGCAGCGGTTCCCAAACTTCTTTTGCTGGGCCCCCCTTTGTTTTACGTGAAAAATGTTCGCGCCCCCCCCACGCACACGCATGCACGCACAAACACATCCTCCAACCACACACACCCATATTTTGCTCCATTGCGGTTTATTTCACACCTCAAACATTTAGTAAACAATTAAGCAAATACAAGTAAACTGCAATAAATTACAGGTAGTAATAAAATAAACCACTAACTCTTTTATGCTACGTCCGCACCTACGCGGGTATTTTTGAAAACGCAGCTGTTTCATCCACACGTAAACGTCGTTTCGAATCAGCGAAAACTGAGATTTTCCTCCTTTTTTGCGTTTCCGTGTGGACGAGGAATACAGAGTTCGTCACGCAGCGTCAAAGGTATGTGCCTTTTTTCATGTCACGCTGTGCGCCACGTTATTGTTTACATGAGATGAATTGCAGAAACAAAATACTGTTAATCTGACTATCTGCAGGTTTTACACGCTTACATATAAACACGCAGTTACTGTCCCTCCATTTACAAAGGCAGAGGCGTCACGGTGTGATTATTTTACGTGTAGTTTTTTTTCCTGTGTAATAATATTCAACAATGCTATCAATACATTTTTCAAAAAATGCCTCTCTGTGCAAAATGGGTTTAAAAACATAAACAGCTGTGGGATACTGTTTGTCTCTGATTTAGACAGGGGGTTGTTATTTGGGTGTTTTTTACAGTTTCTCTGAGCATCTTGGGATGAATCTGCTGGGACGTCTACTCCTTGGGAAGATTGGCAGTTGTCTTGAATGTTTTCCATTTCTGAATGATCTTTTCACTGCATAATGATGGACTTCATATTGTTTGGAAATGGCCTTATAACCCGTCTAATATTGACGGGCTGAAACAGTTGCTTCTCTGTGATCATTACTGATGTCTTTCCTCCTTTGCATTGTGTTGCACTCAGCATCAAGGCAATTAAACCTCTGCGATATTGATCTTGTCCGTTAAGTGGCAGAGGGGGGTGTTAATTAATTTCAGCTGCTTTGGTGTTAAATTAATAACAGGTGCATTAGAGGGGCAACAGTGAAACAATGGCATCTTGCATAGAATACCAGAATTGGTTAGTTCACCAGTGATGCTCAGTGCTTTTCACAGATGAGAGCAGGATCACCCTCAGCACATATGACAGACACTAAAGTGTCTGGAGAAGCTGTGGAGAAGAAGGTTTTGCTTGCTGTAACATCATCCAGCATGACCGGTTTGGCGGTGGGTCAGTGATAATCTGGGACATATCCATGAAGGGATACACAGACCTTTAGAGGACAGGCAATGGCACCCTGACTGCCGTTAACATGCCGAGTCCAAGGGTCCCTCTCCACCTGCGTCTCAGCTTGAGTCCATTGATTCGTCTCTGCAGGTGTGTGAGCACAATCCTGAATCCAAGAGTTCCAAACAAACAGCCTGAGTATAAGGGTCTCTGTCTTAAATGCAGATACCTGCTGAGCCTTCTGTGGAGTTCCTACATTGTTCCTACCCCCAAGCCTACACCAGGGTCTCCTTTGTTGTCAGCATCAGCCTTCTTGTTGTCAACCACCTGCTGCGACATGTGATTGCTCCATCTCAGCTCCTGGGCTCCCATCCATCTTTCAGCGTATTTCTGTCTCAGTCATCGCTGGCTTCCACACAAGCCTCTAGAGGAGTCCCCTCTCCTCCTTCAACACAGTCTCTCACTGAACCTCCACTGCTGGCATGTTGTCCATCTGCCTGATGTGTCCCATCACCAATGCCTGTCACCAGTCAAACCATTAGAGGGTTTCAGTCACTGGTCTCTCAGGCAGCCCACAGAGTTGCTTTATCTGCACGATTGGCCACCTGGCCGGCCGTACGAACCGCCATCTTCCCCATGCTTGCCTCAATGCCGAGCTGATCCCAGAACTGTGTCTTGTGTGTTTGATTTTCTGGCTCCCTGCTTTTTCGCTTTTTGTTTGTAGTCCTGCTTTGGGGTCTCGTCCTCATTAAATCTGACAGTAAGGATATACAGTTTTTCTGCTTTCTGCTTCTTCTGGCTTAATCTTTTCAATTAGAACTATAATAGTGTGTATTTTCTTTTCCACCAAAGTAAAATGAAGCGTTTTAAACGTGAATTTAGTTCTTCTGTTAATTCATTACATTATAGACATTTCTTTGAAAGCAAAGACTTTTGTTATGTTACCTGCCATTATTGCTCTTAAGGATTCTGAGTACATCAACCATTTTAGGGATTTTACTGCAGCTTTGTGCCATCATTCCTTACATGCACGTGTGTCACAGGTTACACACAATGGACGTTTTTTGCATAGGGGTAGATCTGACCAGTAAAGATTTCAGTAGTTTTCAAGTTTTTGCTGTTTAGCTGTCACTAGAGGAGATAACTTGAGAAGGAAAGATAGCATAGCTCTCTATAAGATGTCTTGTATCAACTGTGTGTCATACACCTGTGAGGGTTTAAGCACATTTAAAGGTTGATATTTCAGCAGTATTTATGGCATAAAGACAACGTCCAGATTCCAGCTGTAAAAACTCCAGATTTTCCTTTTTTGTTGGTCCTTAAATTCTTGTTCTGTCAAACAAAGAAGAAGACTTGATCAGGATTTTATTCAGACTGTTACAGTTTTGTAATGCAGAAACACGACAAACATAAAAGAACTGGTCATGGCTTCAGTTGGCACAGTTTGAGAGAGGTTCACAGTTAGCCTTGCAGCCACCAAAGATAGCTTGGGACACATTTGGGACACTATCACAATATTAGGACGATCATCTTATAATGTGAGACCTAAATGTAAAAAAAGAGAGGAGAAAGAAAAATAGAAAAGGAAGAAAAGAAAGAAAGAAAAAAAAGAAAAGAAAAAAAAAAAAGAAAGCAAAGACTTTTTTTCTTTTGCGGAAAAAAACAACACAAAGATTTCACATTTCTTGCTGAAATCTTGCAACAGTTGTCATATTTAACAACAAATATAAATGTGTTTATGCTCTTGTAGACAATATGAGCAACTAAATATACTGTTTATATTTAACATCCGTGTTTATGTTATGGGCGTTTTTTCTGGTTAACAGTTAGTGAACCAGAATAAGTTATTTTTAGTTAACATAGCAGTGAGGGATTTGATTTCGGGAAGGTTTAGCTGATTTAACGCTGTGTTGAAATGCAAAGGAAGGAGAACAGAGAGCTGAGAGGTGCAATCCAAACACACTCTTCCTCCTCTGTGTCTGTGCGTCGTCCTGTGGAGGTGGAACAAAGCTGTTGAGTCACCGGCTGGGCAGCACGTTTGAGATTCCTCTCTGCATGCAAGGGTCAGAGGTGAGATTTCCTCTCTTAGGTCTGCCGTGTCGAGTAAACTGTCTCATCCTTCCTTCGCCTGTGTTGTGCCTCGGTGTCTCTTTTTCCTAGGTGAGTCAATATTTACCACTTACTTGTTCCTAAGCTGTTTATGTTCTTAATAATTTCTGACTTTTCTGGGGCAAACTCTGCCACTGAATGTGGCCTCGGTGCTCGAATTCTTAGAAATATGAGGTCTACCATTCGCCTGTTTGCTTTTTCGAAAAAGTGCGTTTGTAATGTTTACCACAAAGGAGGCACACTTCCTTTCACACTATAGTAAAGATGCCCACTGCAGCCAACACAAATGTTTGATTTTTGAGCGATGGATAGATCTCATAGAGCAGGAATAGCAATACTGACACCTTTTTTCTTGTATAAAACTGACAGATGATGAGAAGAAAAAGGGACGATTTTCATGCCAAATCAAAAACCTCACATTAAAGGAGTGATTCATTTAGGTGCATTCTGGGTGGTTGTTCAGTGTGGGTTGTACTGTGCGGTTTTCTCGCAGTTTGTCATCTCCAAAGCTTATGTAGGAGTTCTTCCTGCATTACCGTGACTGAACTTTGTCAACATTGTATGTGCTTTTTCACATCCTGCAATGCCATGCAGCTGAGTAATTCCAGACCAACAGACTCATCAGGAATATTCTGTCCTAAAATGCCTAGAAAGTTTGCAGAATATTGATGACATGACATTAAGGTCTTTAAATTTCAAATTTATCGATTCATGTATTTTCATGTATTTTCAAGAAAGGTGAAATGATCTTACGTGAACACTTTGCTGTTGCTGCACCCTGATAACAGGTTCCTGTAGCCACAGTGCTGTTTGTTTTGTGTGTTATCAGTACCCTGCACAAATATACCCAATGAAGGCTTTGATGACAGGAATGAGAGATTTGATTTAGGGAAGGTTTTTCTGATTTAATAATGTATTGAAATGCATATCGTCAAATCAGTTCAAGAGTTACACAGAGAGGCATTTGTTTGTCATGTTGCGCGGATATTTCAGCTTCTGTCCTTCCCCTTTAGACCTTTCTACCTCCCTCGGGAGTTTGGACAGTTATTTATAACTGTTATTTGTTTTAATCCAAGAGCAAATGTAGATGGCTGCTGCAGATGTAACATATGCACAGTGGTTTGGCTAGAAAATAAGAAAAAGTTGTGTGGGACTTCAGTCATTTTTCTGTTGTGTTAAAACAGGTTATTGCCCCATGTTTACATCAACTGTACATTGACTCTCCTGCTAAGAAAGAGGACACTGGATTTATTCTTTAGCATTATAAATGATGCATATGGGGATTAGTCAATACACTTGATTCAGCTCTATAAACAGCAGCTTAAACACCAAGCTTGAACTGTGAACAATCCACCTGCAGATGTATGAGAGGGTGTCTGGTTGGGATATTTTCATAAACAATAGCCTATGAATATTTCTGTGTTGAAAGAGCAGGGTGATGAGGGATAGGCTAGACTGATGCAGGAGGAAATTAAGCAAATTGTCAAATATTAGTATAAGGAGGAGAAAAGAGGAAATTGAAGCAGGCACAGCTTGCTTAAGGCAGGGATTGCAGGGAGTGTACACAGTGATTTGACAGCAAAGGGAAAAAAACAAAACACTTGTAGGCTTCAGCTTCTCATGTGGATACGCAGTATAATCCCTGAACAAAATCTTGTAATTCTGGAGCATTCATCTGCATTCCCAAGCCTGCAGTTTGTTCGAGTTTAGACGACATGGCTCATTCACAGCTGTATGTTACTGCTGCTATTAGAAACTGTGTTTACTTGGACATTTAGACCCTTCTACATTATGTTCTCTTGCATGTTTAAGGTAGATAGCTTAGAGAAAAAAATAACAGAGCCACAATAGAAAAAAACGAGAGCAGCCTTCTCACAGAGGGTTTCACCTCAAACCAAAAAGCACAAACAAATTACCATTTCACACTACCTGCAATATTGTTTCCACAATGTGAAAAAACACAGTCACACTATTCATGTTCTCAGGCTCGGCTGAAGGAAGGGTAACTCCTGTTGCTTTCCCTTTTTCAGAGCTAAATGAGTCATGTATTTTGATAACCTCCCACAAGCTCCACGTCTTAAACTTAAGCCATCATTAACCCTTGTTCAAGGATGGCACGGTTTCTGTAGGCTAGTTTTAGAAAACCATTCCATCACTATTTCTGAGACGTCTCCCTTTGCGCTCTTAAGGGCTGAAATGTCATTTATATTAGAAAATTCCCACATTGTTCGTCTCTTATCAGGCCAGCAGGGATGGTCATCCTCACATTTCCGGGAAGGCTCCCTCATACCGCATCTTTAATTTAAAACAGAATTTCTCAGACATGGTTAAAAATAACTTGGTTTAGCAAACATGAGAACAAGATTCAAAGTGTTCTTAAGGACAGCGTGTTTCCTTTCAGCTTGTGAAAATAGTCTGATCTGATGCTTAACAATCAAGAGGCGTGAGCATCCTGAATTAGAGTGCAGAAAATTCTCTGGGTGCAAATAAAAATCTAAATACTTAATAAATGTAAAAATACAGATATTTGGTTAGGAAAGGCTATGCAAACCATGAAATTCAGGTGGCGCTTGAGAATGCAAACACTATTTATTGGATTAAAAGCAGCAACAGAAGGTAGAAACTTGGAGGTGCAAGAACAGGCGCACAGATTCTCCTCCTCTGCATATTTTAACAAATCCACAACAACTATACAAAGGAAAATAATCCAAAAGTCTTAGGTGTTATTTGCAAATGCTAGGCTGTGTGCTCAAAGATAAATAAGTCATCTTTATGACTGACCTACAGGGTGTGTCAGTCTTGTGAGCAAGTTGTTACTTTTATTGCTGGTTGATGCGATTCATTGAAGATCTGGGTTTCAATTCTCCATTGAAATCACATCCTCTTCCCCTTAAAATAAAAAAAAGTTTGTTGTTTTAGCTTAGCTAAGGACTTTTTCATCATTCTAGGAACATGGAAATGTTAAAAAGCTGACATTTGCCACGTTTCCCCAAAGCATTTCTGCGCTGCTCAAACTATTCACAAGATGGGGTTAAATGAGGTTAAGGGCAAATTGGAGGAAGAGCAAACTGAAATTGAGTAAAGATGAACATTTAAATGAGTTAAAATACTGCTTAGAATTTTTTTAAGGACAAACTTTAGCAACTTAATGTTGGTTTCGACTGATCGGTCAGTCAAAAAGATGAACCCTGAGCAGTGCTTGAGTATTGTGATATTTCCCTTCCTGAAGTCCAGAGTTCGTCTCCTACAGCTGCGAGCTGTTTGTTAACAGCAGTCGAAAGAACATTTTGTTGCTGTTGCACGTTTATCTGAATCACAACCGGAATCTGTATGTTTATGGTGACGCATACAAAGTTTGCAACCTCTGTTTAAAGCCAATCACTGCTGAGCTCACTGCTGTTTGTGTCCACATCATCCTTGATTTTAAATATTTGACTGCCCTACAGAAAGCACTTGTTGTTTCAGGCTTGTGCAGTTTTAAGCTGCTACACCAAACCTGCTGACAAACTAATTTAATTCCAACATAACATGGAATTGAAAGTAAAATCCTGAGCTACGCATGCACGTAAAGTGTCTGTCTTTTCCTGAGATGTTCGTGTTATCAGTACCTTGCACCTGTGACCGCTCTTCAGTGTATGTGGCAATCGCTGCCCTATAAACAGATGGACAAAGTTCACATGACTGAACAGATCTGTAGACCAAATGAACATTTAACCAAATGTAAACAGAAAACAGACGCTTGTTCCTCTCTGTCAGTTTGCTGTAGCGAAATTTAAACATTGCACAAATTTGGTCCGTTAGCGAGGCCCATTTCCCAACAGCTTCTGTAAGTTTTCTGCCATGCAAGCATTTTCAATAACACTGCTGTGGTTTACAACATACAGCTTGACTTTGTCCAATGAATGCAAACAGAAAAGGTCGTGCTGAAGATGATTAGCAGATTTTATAAACTGTAGATTATTGCTTTAAGATATCTTAAGATACGAAATGATTTCCAGCAGCCTTGCTCCTCTTGCGCCCTTCCCTAAAGTGGTTATCAACACTATGATAACGATATTCTCATCAGCCATTCACTCCTTCCACCATCTGTTCCCAGAAGCAGACATCTTTAGTGCTGCTTGCTCTGGAAAAACTGCATCACTTTCTTGTTTTGTGCCTTGACTGAAACTTAATCGGGGAGGTTTAGATTCAAAATGCTTTCTGATTAATTCATCCAAAACTTTTATTATTATTATTATTATTATTGAACTCTAATGACATTCTTCAGAATAGTCATTTATCTTATAGTGGGTCTTGGTACAACTGCTTAGTATTGGTGTTTTAGCTCCTGTCCCTTTAAGTCATTTTTGCTCTGATTGGCTACCCCTTGCAAACAAAAGGTCTGAACAGCAGGCGAGTGGATACACTGTGATCAAAGGCAGATTTGTGTGCCTCACGCCGGATTCATGGTCCTGTGTTAAATTCACTGAACGAGAATAGATCGAATTGAAGAGAAAACTTCACTATATAGCCTTTTGGCAGTGACAATACAAAGTAATGGAGGTGCACGATACACAAAAGTATAAATACTGTCATTGGCATCTGTGAAGGCTACATCATATGGGAGGTCTGCTGTGAACTGTGCATGGTGAAGCTAGCATGTCACAAGTCTGTCATAGCTGTGTGGCCCTTTGTAGATGGAGTGTGATCTCTGAATAACAGTCAAATAGCTCCCAGCGAATATTAAACAGTTATGAGCTATTATAGATGATCCCTTTCTACCTGATCTTGAAGATCTTAAAGTAGACCAAAGACTGAAAAAGAGTTTATCTCTACTTTTGTTTTACTGAGAACTATATTTAATGTGAGCTTCCACAGTTATTACAGAGTATTTATGAGGGGAAAAAAGCAAAATAAAGAGCATAAGGTGTCTGCTTGAAGTTTATTATTGACTGTAGCTGTAATAGTGCATAAACTGTAGATCTTGCAACACTGCCAATGACAAAAATGATAGAGAATTTCTCTTCCAAAAACCCAAATAGTGCTCAAAATAGGCAGATCTTGGCTGGGAAACCTGCTTCTTTCCTGCCAGGAAGCAATATTTTGAGCTGCACTGATTAGCCATTGTCTGCAGTTAAGGATGTTTCCAGTAATGTGTGAAAGTGGTACCAAGATAAGGTGCTGAAAAGTGTAATATTACACAACTATAAATCTATTTGGAGTTAAGGTGGTACACCACCATTTCACAAAGAGTGCATGTGTGGCTCTGAGTCATTCAAAAGTACAGTAAGAAAGAAAAAGTTAAGCGTCATCTGACTTTTGGTAAACATGAGCTCAGTCTGAATCCACTGCGCAGCCAACCTCTGGGATCCCTGACCTGCCCGCTGGTTTACACCTCCGGTGACTCACTCGTTTCTGTCTTCTTCAGCCTCATGTCTGCAGCGTGACCCGATGAACCAGTTCACTTCTTCCCACGCTCGCCCCTCTCTGCCTGAACTTGTCTAAATAGCTAAACTATGCACTGGAAGCAGACACAGATATTGGGTCTAAAATGAATTAAAATTCAGCTCTCCTTTTATACCTTGAAAATATTTTTTGTTTAAATCTAAAGACCACTTAGCCAACTTTATTTTAAGCCGTGCTTATTTTCCATTACTTGTTTTGCTTTTATGAACAAAAACTGAGTGAATATAAGCTTTAGATAGATGGAGCCTGCTTTTGCATGCCTGTTTCTCACAGTCAAAATGTTGTGAACCTTTTCTTCTTAGAAACGAGATTTCTTCAGAAGAGCTTCTGCTCAAAACAAACAACAACCACTTGAAAAGTGCACGTGTAAGCGAGATCCTGTGTGGTTTGCATGCAGTGTAAAAAAACACAAGCCAACAATAAAAGCACTAATATTAGCCAAGTCTCGATACCAACCAATATTGCCTTTGACGGTTGGCCTGTGAACCCAGGATAACACTTATTGAAGGCACTGGCTTGTTTTTATCTGTGGTGTCACACTGCATACTGGTTACATTTTTCCCAGAAAGGTGTGAAACATTTTGATGAAACAAAACTAAACAAACACCACTCAGTGTTAAGACACGTTCACAGCGTTCACTGGAGCCCTCTTTAACCACAAGCAATCTCCCATTCATTATAGTTTTCCCATCAGCAGTAGCTCTTCCTGTATCGTGATACACAGGTGAGAATTTTGAGGTTTAGATCATTTCCTTTCCTTCTTCCCACAGCAGCTGCACACATTTCGTTGCTACTGTGTTCTTCTAAAAGCCTTTGCTTGCCTTGGTGCAGATTGTCAAAACTTACCATACCGATTTGTGATATTATGTACCAATTTATTTCTTTTTACTTAAAATTGCAAACGACTCAAGATGTGCTGATAGATTCATTATCGGACCATCACGAAACATCGGGTAGACAATGCAATGAAATCATGGTCATATACACTAAAAACAGTTTCTGCCCCAAAGCTGTTAAAGCATTATAAACGTTTTTAAATTACTACTGATGGGAGGGGGGGACAATATCATGAAAGCCGGGACTGGCACACACATTTGTTTAATATCTGTCATTTTTTAAATTTATATTTCCTTTTATTTTTTTCTATATTTTATCACCTTTTCAACACAGGAAAGCTCTGCACTTGTTTTGTGTGAAGTTTCCACACTATCTGCAGCTACAGACTCTGCGGGTGTGAAGTCACACAATGTTAGAAAAAAAATCTGTCATTATATCTCATCTGAACGTGACCTCATACAGAGTATTACAGCTGCTGTTTCAACCAGTTCAAGCATGTATGCTAAACTACTATTCATACAGAGTTTCAGAAGATGGGTGGATGAAGTCGGTGGGGGTGAGGGGAATTTATGAAACAATTGAGATTTTATTTTAACTGCTTGTGTGCTGTTAATGACAGGTTTCTGTACCATATTTAGGAAAGCAATGTTTTGTTTTGTTTTTTCCTCTGGCGCTTTCCAACCACATCCATGCAAATAATTCAATAGGAAGTTAAAACCAGCAGTAACAGTCATTTTGGATCAAACATGAATGGATCTGTTAAGCTGTTAATCACTCAGTAAATCAGCATGTTTGATTCAGATCCATGTAGAAAATGTACCGAGTAAGTCACTCCTTACTCAGTACACTCATGTCTGCCTTCTGCTTTAGTCGTGTACTTTAATTGTAACTGAACCTGATGACTGGACTCATGACTGGACTGATTGTGTAATACCAGTACTAGTTCAGTGAAAGGCTGGTAATATGTAATTCTAAGTTAAATGCCATTTTCTCTGGTCTTCTATTGGTTTTAATAATTGCCCAGACATATGCGTAAACCACACTGAAGTGATGAGAAAACCATGCACATTTATGCAAACTCATGAACTGATGTCAGCCAGAAGAAACAAGGTGCTCAGGTGTGAAAAAACCCAGATGTTGCTTCTAACGGCACTTAAAGCTGGTACTGAATTCCTGGGAAGATTTTAAATTTTATTGCTTCTTTATTAGAAAATGTCATATGCTGGGCTTCAACTCAGATTCTCTGGAACTTTCAGTCACAGGAGCTGATTCAGGGAACTAAAAGGTCCCTTCAATCCACTGTTTTTACACATGGGAACTAAGTTACGGTTACTTTCACACAAAAGCTGGTGAAGCAAGACCATCCCTCTGGCTTGTTGGGAGGTGTGGGCATGTTTATTTCTGCTTGAAAAAGTAACTGCTGGGACCGTAACATTTTACTTCTCTGATTCACTGCCGTGGTTGTAACAAGCACTGCACCTTCTTTACATTCGCCCTCGCTCTCACTCGACCACACCCTGCCCTTCTGTCTGTGTCCCTGTCGCCTCCAGAATGTTTTCATAGAGGTGGCCATGCAGGGGTGACACACCATAAAACCAGAATTTCCAGTTTTAATATGCTGTCGGCAAATATAGTTTACTTGAAAAAGTATGACAAAGAGCAAAATGAATGTTCTGCCTGGTTAATTGTCGATATCAGCTGATATCACTAAGCATAGGTACATATCAAAACCAAATAAGATTTTAAAATCCATAATAATCTGTTTTGATTGATTGATTAATTGATTGGAAGTCTCAACCATTGTTTTAATGATTCTCAGCAGAGCCGAGCAGAAGCATCGGCTCTCCCAGAATGGAGTTATCCTTTAACCCTGGAGAAACCATGGGGTCAAATTTGACCCCATGGTTTCCCTAGTAAGCCAATGGGGTCGGCTCTGGCCCCATTGGTTCTCCAGGGTTAAGAGCAAACTTGGTCAGGAAAGACAAATAAATATTACAATCATATAAGAATTAGAATCATAAATATTAGATCAGGCAAGAGTGTGAACTGTTGCCTGTCTCTATGATATGTTATGCCCTGAGATGCACCAGTGATCAGTCCAGGGATTTGCACCAGCTTTTCTGCAACCTTATTACATTATTACCAACATAGGGCTGTCTTGCCCGGAGGCACTAAGGCGGGGCAGCAAATTTTGGGGGTTGCCCAGCGACCCCCTTGGTGGCACCCCTGCCCTGTACAGGCCCACATTTTGCACCTTTTGAAGACAAACTCTGGTTTATCTGCTTGTAAACACAGTCCCTGCTTACATGTTGTTTAAAACTAGATCAAATGTTCAGTGCCAAACACAACGGGCCAAACAGCCGCAATCTGTCGAGGTTACCAGGTTACCTCACTATGTGTAAACAACCACATTAAAACTACTGACGCATGCAGTTAAATCAAATCGGTCTCAGCGCGCACTTTTTTACTACAAGCCACATTCATATTCGTACAACACTTTAACAGTCATAATCACACTCGCACTCATCACGGTGGATGCGATAGGAGCAATTGTGGGTTTCAGTAAACCAATGACCATATTAAAGTGGAATTTGTTATTTGTTATTTTATTTAGTTCAAATTATGGTGCTTTTATTTTGAAGGTCAAGCTTGCCTGCGTAAACAATCATTACGCTGCATGTGTGTGTAAGTGGGCGTAGGATACCGATGTGCCAAAAAGTGATCGTCTGCCAAAAACTGATTTCTGGCATTTGCCAAAAAGTAATTACAAGTATTTAAACTGCCATGAATGAACTTTTGGCCTTTAAACAGCGAAGCATATCAAATGTATCCCTCAATAATATAAAATAAGTCATCTCGAGCCACAAAACAACATTGGTATCACAAGCTAGAAGCCGCAGTCAGTTTTTGACAAAGTGACTAAGAGGATAGCAGAAATTGCAACTATATAACAATAGTTCCATAAAGATATTTTTAGTGGCCAAAAGGGGAGTGGATTGGTTTTAATGTTGGTACAATAACGCAGAGTCATAAAGATACTTAAAAAACAGGTCATTTCAAAATTTTATATATAACCCCATAAACCCTGTTCACTAAAATCTACTTACCAATATAAGTAAAGACATTACACATCAAAACAAACAAACAAAAAAACACACACACGGCAACACTGGAAAATCAGTTTTTGGCAAACGATCACTTTTGTGCTCGTTAAAAAGTTAAGGCAACCAAACTGTTCTAGAAGTGGATAATTGTAAAGAAACCTCGGAAGAATGGCGACTATCTTTGTTTATCTTAGTAAACTTTATTTTATGTGTTTTTGGCGAACTAATGGAGGCTTGGGTTGTGCATTTACTTAGTCCCACTTGACACTTTACTGTCTGGCGGTATGATTTGCATAGCAACAAATCTGATGTTGTCCGACACTCATACAAATTCACCAGTTTTAATTCAGTTCCTCCTGAGGGGTTAATACATTCCATGCAAAAATGTAGAGGCTGGCCAAGGGAGCAACACTTAACACTGGACTGTTATCAGGAATTCTGGGTCTGCTTCCAGTCATAAAGCATTACGCAGCATTTTGGCTTACACACGCAGCTCCTCAAATACCAGAGCGCTAGTCATTCACGATCAAGAGAAGGAGCTAGATGGCGTGAGAAAGGAGAAGTGAGCAGGAGAGAGAAAATATCAGGCAGTGTATAGTTAGCTCTTTCAGTTTCTCTGGTTTTTGCTGGATTTTAAAGGCTCTTGGGCTTTTCACATTCTCTGGATGTAATTTAAAGACGCAGGAAGACCTGGCACTAGGTCAGCTGATTTCCATTTCAGGTTTTTGCTGTGACTCTTAGCATGTTCACTTCTAAATGTTCTGTATCTTTGTTTTTCAGCCATGGGTTCAAGTTCAACACTGGCAAGCCTTGTGTTTTTCCTTGGTTTGTGTGGAATCTGTAGCGGATTTGAACAGGGTGAGCTGAGTAACACTGCTACACACACACACACACACACACACACACACACACACACACACACACACACACACACACACACACACACACACTGAACACATTAACAAATTTTTAAATGTTTCTGTAAATTTATCATATGTCATGTTTTTGCCAAGCTGCAGTTTGAGCCACTAGCATGATCTGAAGTATTTTATTGCCCTCTTGTGGCCAGGGATAAAATTACAACAACACTGATTTTTAACTCTGCTTGGGAAAGTTCAAGTAAAAACACATCGAGCAGGAATTATGTCACATCTCAGTTCAGTTCAGTTCAATTCAATTAATTTCAAACAAATAACAACATTATATTTGACTTTGAAACGTTTGATTTCTCAGCAATAAAAGGTTAAATAACTATTTTCTCTATTCCACACTTACATGTATGTTGCAGAGAACTGTACTGACTACAAACTCCAGTTTGAGAGGGTTTTCTCTGTTCCTGGAGATGTGGCTATGCTGAGAAGCACACTTGTGTCCTCAGACGTCTTTGATTTCAAAACTGTCCCGTACAACATCACGTGGTACAACTCGGTGTCAGGCCAAGAAATCAGCAGTCAGACTGGTCACATCCTGGTGCACGAGGAGACTCTGTGGATTCTCAATGTAACCATGAATGACAGTGGGGATTATGTGACCATACTGAGGTAGGAAGCACTAGTAGAAGTAGAAATATTAGAAATGAATAGAACACAGTATTAATTTACACCTTACACAACTCATCAAACTGCCTCCATGATCTATCAGTAATCACAGTGAACACAGAGTGGTTTATGGCTTTTACTGTATTGGAAATTATAATAGGAGAATGACGAAACCGCCCACATCTCAGTACTTTCAAACACTTTTATTCCGATTGCCGTTCACACACGGGCTGCAGCTTTGCAGCTTGCAGCCACACACTCCAACAACAACAACCGGATTCCGCTCAGGTGCGTCCGCCTCCCGTGCAGCGGCACTGCTGCAATATTATCTATCCCCAACACAGAATTAGATTTAGATTTTCAAAATCTAAGATCAAGATCCCTTACAATTCCAACAAATTTAATATTAATATTGTTTGATTTTTGACTGTGGAGAAGGTCAAACAATGACCGTCACTGCCAGGGCGAGTGTGCCCAATTATCTATTCATTTATAATATTTCTGCTTAATTTCCCAACAGGACTCCTTCCCACTGCTACAGGGAGGCCAGCCGACTGGTGGTGGATGAAAGACCTACAGGAGAATGTGGAAGGCCGAGGAAAGCTTATCAGCTACTTACAAAAGGAGTCACTGACAATCTGAGCTGCCATCTGAAGAACGAAATGAATAAGCTGAACAGCTACAACATCTCTTCCTCCATCAAGTGGTACAGAGTGAGTTCTCCAGAATTGTTGTTGAGTGCTGCATGAAACCTAATGGTTTTAATGGAGAGACTGCACAGTAGCTGCAACCTCAACTATTTTCTACCACTATTCCAACTTTTGTCAATACCAGGAATGTATTGAAACTCTGACACCAGTGTTTAAAATCTACAATTTGACTGAAAGCAGATCCCAGTATTCATGAGTTTTTTGTTGGTATATTTTCATCATTTGTGCAACTACAACCATTTTGAACTTTCACATTTTAAAAGTGCTTACTCAAAAGATCAATATCATCCTGCTATCAATAGTAGAAGTTTAGTTAACAATAGCCAAGTTGCACTCAAATGGGATCCCAGCAGCTGTAAATTCACCAACTGCACTGTTTATCATAATTTTGAACAGATACTTGTCTTTTGTTTTGTGAATTTGAAAACAAGACCCATTTGTTTCTCCCTCTAGGGTTGTGACCCCATAGAGGATGGGAAAGACAGCTTTTACTATTGGGGCACCAGACTGAAAATTACCAGTGTGGACCTTCAACACAAAGGCACCTATACCTGTACTCTGACATTCACCCTGGGTGGCATCAAAGGGTCTGTGTCAGAGACTATTAGCGCAGAGGTCAAAGGTGAGATTGTAGATTAACAGAAACACTGAAATGAAGTGAGGGGGCTATGAAGTGGATGAAGTGTGGAAGGGCAGTTGGTCCAGATGACATACTTTTGTATGCTAGGAGAGGAACTTTGGCTCTGAATGACGTAGTCAGGAATGGTGAAGAAGTATGTGAGGGAGGCCATGTATGAGGACAACGAGACAGTGGTGCGGGGCGCATTCGAAGTGATAGAAGGTGTTTAAGGTGGGGGTGGGACCAGGGATTGACCATGCTGTTTGCGATAGTGATGGACAGGCTGAAGATGAGGTCAGACAGGATTATGATGATGTGAATTATGATGTTTGCAGACCTGTAGTGAGAGCAGGGAGCAGGTGGAAGACAACCTAGAGCAATGGAAGTATTGACTGGAGGGAAGATAATGATAATGGCGGTTTGGAGATGGTGGCAATGATAAAGAGACAGGAGGCCGAGCTGGGGGATTTGAAGATCTACATAGGTTTATACTGGGTGTGACAAAAATGATTAAGATTAGCATTGAACATATCAGAGAGGCTGTTAATGTTAACAGTTTGGAGATAAATGTAAAGAGGAAAGGCTGGGATGGTTTGGACGCATGCAGAGGAGGGAAAGGGGCTATGTTAGACATATAATGCTGAGGATGAGCATCCAGGCAGGAGGAAAAGAGGTAGAACACAGAGAAGATTCATGGATGTAGTGAAGGAGGGCATGTGGAGGGTGGGTGTGACAGAAAGGGGCAATAGGGATAGGGCGAGATAGAGGCAGATGATCTGCTGTGGCGCCCCATGAAGGGAGCAGCTGAAAAAAAGAGGAAGAAGACAACAGAGTGATTTTTTTTTGTCCATATGTAAAGATGAATTATAAAATAGCAGTGATGATACAATAAGTAACTGTATAGATGTGCACAATGCTCTTCAGTCATAAAGCTGGTATTTCGGAGCACTCAACTTGGTTTTCATTTACTTGGGTTTGACTGTGTCATAATTATCCCCCGCTAAGCCTCATGTAGCTTATAGGTTAGCACCTAGATACCTCAAATTATGATTCACAGATTCACTTAGTGAAAATTATTATGTTATATCTTGAACAAGCATGTGGCACAAGACGGGGAAATACAAAACAAAAACTGTGTTTGCCTTGGGCTACACAAGATAAAGACCTCGTCAGGAGTCCCCACACAGCTGAGAAGGGCAGCTGTGTCTTTGTTCTGTTATTCAAGCAAGGTTTATGTTTGACTGCTAACTGACCGTGATATCCACTTCAGTTAGTCAGGCATATACAGTAACGCCCTCAAACACAAACAAAACAGAACAGAACAGCTCCCAAACACTTGCAAGCGAGCTGAGGTATCGTGACTTCTATACTGAGTGCAGTTGAAAGGACAGAATCACGGTTGCCCAACACATCCCAGCCCAAAGGCCTCAAAGACTATCTTGACACTACTGTACGTTGACAAAAATCCGGTGAAAAAAGCATAATCGCTTCATTTTAACAATAAAAATAATAACAGAAAAAGAAACATCAGTTGTGTTAGTAATAATGGTTTCTTAGGTTTGCTTACTGTAAAACTGTGAAAGAGAAATATGATTCAATTTCCATTATATCTTTGTGATTATTCAACCTCTACTGTAAGCTACACAGTATTTGATGTTCTCTGTTTCAGGGGATTACTCTTTGGTTCCACAAGTGCATGAACCCTCCAATGATGTAATCAAAGCACAGAGCGGTAAGTCCTAAGATCTTCTGAGAAATGTGGTGTTCTGTTGATTTCATATTTATGTATCTCAGGCTTCATTTAGGCCAACATATTGGGTTGAAAGTCACAGACTTCTGCAGGGAGAGTAAATGCTAAATATACAGTTTCATGTTTATACTGAGTCACTGTTTTGCGCATGTTTTCAGGGTACAACTTCAGTAAAAGGTGCCTGGTGTTTGTGCCGGGTGTTGGGAAGCCTATCGTTGATATTTATTGGTTGGACAAAGATGGATTCTTTGAGACTAACACCTCTTACCGTGTACACATGTTAGAACAGCGGTCAGTACCTTTTTACTCTAAATCTATTTAATTGATCTGCTTTATCAGTGAACCAATGTTCAGAGTTGATGTCTTTTGAGACTCCTGCCTTAACAGGCATTTTGTCACATCACCTTTTAACTGTTTCATCTGATTGTCCTCGACAGTTTGCTGCCCCAAAATGGCTCCAGTAAAGGTGCGTGGTTAGAGACCTGGCTGATATTTTCTGAGCTAAGGGAGGAGGACTTCTACGTCAACTACACCTGCCGTGCGTACAGTGACAGGGGCTTTCCTGAAAGATATTTCAGTCTGCAACCAGCAGGTAAAAACAGAGTCTCCCCTAAACATGATATTTTAGTTTGTCTCTAACCTTGACCAATCAAAGCTTTACATTTGAGAATACCACTCACAATTACTTAATCAAGTAATCTTTTCATTTAAGTGATTATCTTATACATGAATAAGAATTAGTTAATTACAATACAGAAAATGTTGCCTTCAATGTAAATGTTTTGCCTCTTGATAGGTGTTAAACCACCAGCTAAACCAAACACATTAGCAAACTTTCTACTTAATGAACACAGTTCATAATAGCAATGCAGTCAAATTGCTGTTAGGGTCCCACAGCTGAATAAATAGCTGAATGAACTGTTCATATACAGTAATTGTTATGACTTGGACCTGTTAATAACTTAGTATGAAACCTGCACCGCTTTAGTCAAACGCACAGCAAAATGAAAATCTGAAAATCTTTTGAGGTCAATCAAATAACAAGCTTTGTTAAGTATTTTCACAATTTTACATATTTTAATAAGTCATCATGGTAATGTACCTCACTAAGAAATCACCTGTATAACAGTAAAAACCCAGGATTTGGCGAGGCCTCAAAGAGCAAACGAGGCTCATGTAAGAAACATTTATTATCATGACAACAGAGCCATGTTCAAGGTAAATAAAGTCTTACTATGACTTTATTTACACTCTGTCTTCTTTAGCTATGCTAAATGCTATGGCATTTAGCATAGCATCTAATATTCAGACAAACAAACAAAATAACAAAGGAGTCTATATCTAAAGTATTATTTCTAGAGGATTAGAAATTGTTACAAACATGCATGAATTGTAGTTCTCGGAGGCATTATTAGAACTATGACCAGCAGAGGGAGCTGTTCAGCCTGCTCAATCTACTCAATATACATAATTAAACCAGAGGCAAAATTTCATGCTTTCAAAGATGCTGGTGAAAATATGAACATTACAAGAGGAAGTAGCTGAAAAACAGTTACATTTTTACACTGCTATGTTATGCTGTTTTTATACCAGTTAAATCTCATATAAATGTTAATTTGACTGAAAAGTAATTTTTTTAGACATTTGAAGCCATAATGAATTTGGAGCCAGTGCATCCGCAGCAAATATATAATCTAAAATTTTGTGTCTGGTATGTTTGCTGTTCATCTCCACAGATCCAAGTGGCATAGCTATCGGATCTGTGCTTGGTGGTATGATGGTTCTGTTTATCATCACCGTCACCCTATACTACCTTTTTAAGATTGAAATAGTGCTGTGGTTCAGGAGAGCATTTCCAGTCTTCTACAAAAATAAAGGTAAGTTCTCAGCAGCTTTGTAGTTATTAATGTGCAATTGATTTACGTATTATAAACAGAAAACAATAGCAACAATAATGTCATCTAACAGTACAGTACTTAACAATGGAAATACCCCAAGCAATGTTTTCAGCTTGCACCTTTACTTCACACACAGTACCCACATATTCACGACAACCTACAGAGTCATAAACTCTGCATGTGTCAGCAGCGAGAACAAACAAAGGAAACAAGCTAACCACAGGACTGCTTACTCTGCTTCTCATCAAATGTCATTTGCTGATTATGAAAGAAAGGGATAGCAAACACTGGACTGCTTTTGCTAAAAGTCGATGATTCTTAAGACTTCAGAAAGCATCCATGGCTGAATCAGTAAGAAAAGTACTGTTTGAAAACCCGAACAAGAAGGAAAACAGCGTTACCCACACAGTTTGACATATGTGAAATCGTATATGCAGATAGCGAAACACAGAAGTAGCACGTAGTTTGATGTGGTAACACCTCAAAAAGAAAGTGCAATTGCAGTAGCTACGTTGAACATTAGCTTTAATGTAGCTACTGTTTGCTGTCATCATCAATTAGCATATTGGTAACTTTATTTATTTATTTGTTACACTGTTGCTTGAACAAATTGTTTCATGCTGAATTTATTCAGTGAATTTAAATGTTTTTACACATGTTTGACATAATGTCTCCAATTTGCTTCCAGCCTAAGAAACAATGCAGGATAGCTGCACATGCTCGGTGAACTCCAGGCATATCTGCCGGTTTCCCGATGGCTTGGTGTCTTGGGGTCATTTTGCAATAAATTACATGCAATGTACCTGTCCCTGCCTGCTTGGTAGCACACTGTCTGACAATATAAATCTAACTTCTTGTTGCAAAGCATGAACACAGCAATAATTAGAATAACTGAGTTTATAGATGACAGCTCTAAATATTTAATTGAAAGATCAAATTTTGAGGGTTTTAGTCGAAACTATGCATGTCATAAACTTTTCCTTTTCTTGTGTTAGACTTGGATGGGAAGCTTTACGATGCCTATGTGGCATACCCACAGCCCTGTGACCTCGGATTCAGCAAGGATGTGGAAACATTTGCCCTTCAAACACTGCCTCATGTGTTGGAAAGGGCCTGTGACTACAAACTCTTCATAGCAGGCCGTGACTGCCTGCCTGGGCAAGGTAATTTACCCACAGCAAACAGTATGGAGACATGTGGCCCAGAGCCATTTTTTAAACCACAGAGCCTAACTTGCACTGTTTGAAGAAGGACTGGCATTTAGTATTATAAAAAATAATAATAACAACAATTTCATGCTTTTCTTTAAATTAATTTGTGATTTTTTTTATCCCACCCATTATTGGCAGATCACTTCAAGATCTTAAATATTATTAGGCTGTTTTACACGTAGCAAGCTTAAAATCTTGAAAGACTATCCAAAAATCTTCTGTTTGCATTTCGTTTAGCTGGTCATGGTGTATTTTTAAGTAAATACCATGGGCTGTAGGTGGTAAAAGCTAGCCTCTTTTTGTCTTCACTTTCTTCCTTTATGAAACTGCATGAGTATATATAAGAAAGGATTTATATAAGTTGTTTTGTGGTGATCTTGTCTTGCCTTTTCAGGGCGGTCAACAATAACTGCTAGCTAGAAATGCACAAACACAGACGAATTCCCCAGTGTTGTACACATCAGCTTGTTTCATTTTCAAATATTTTGCCTGTTGCTGTGACTTCCTAAGTAGAAAATATGTGGCAAAGCCAAATTATTTATTTTTTGTTCATGCAGTTAAAAAGTAGCATTGCATTAGCTTGTGAAGAAAGGCAATTTGGCTGTCTGCTGCGATGCTTGCATTTACTTCTTTTCAGTTTAAAAAGGAATAAACTTCTAAATATAACTGTTAGAGCTGCATATAGCTAAGTTTAAGTTCCCTTATTTAGCTCCTATTTTCTAACCGTGTGTTTTCATTATTTGTTCCCTCCTGCAGCTATGGTGGACTCTGTTGAAGAAAACATACAAGCCAGCCGCCGTGTCCTCCTTCTCTACACTGCTTCCTCTTTTACCACCAAAAGACATACAAGCAGCACCAGCAGTAATAATAACAACATTTCTAAGAGCGGTGAATGCGATGATGAAATTCAAAGAAATGCCAGTGACAGCTTTAGCATTACAAGCTCTGATGTTGGTGATAAAGTCTGTAAAGACACAAGGCAGCAGCTGGAGTGTGTGGCAGCAATGCACCGAGTGCTGATCGAGGGCTCCCTCAAGGTGAGGAAATAGACACTCTTCAGAGGCACGTCTCTGAAAAAACTGCCAGACATCAGACTAATGTCAAACAGAGGCAATTGCATATCTCGCTATTAAACATGAACTCCTACACGATCAGGAGCTGAGCAAAAATTGGCACACAGGTACATATTAGGTCCATTCTTATGTACACTACCGGTAAAAAGTTTTTGAACACACCAATTTTTCCAGTTTTTTATTGAAAATGATGCTGTTTAATGTTTCATGCACTCTGAAATAAAAGCATAGTAAAAAATAAGCAATAAAAAAAAAGAAGCATGGAATCAATTTATAGACCAAAACTTTTGACTCATCAAAGTTGCCACCTTTGGTAGATGATAGCTGAACACACCCTTTCTACAATAAAAATCAAATATTCTTCACAAAGTTCTTCCCATATCTGTTGCAGTTCAGTTCACTTGTAGGTTGCTTTACTTTCACTCTTGTGTCCAGTTCATCCCAAACCAGCTCAATGGGGTTTAAGTCTGGAGACTGTGCTGTCTGCTCCATGTTTTCAAACTTATCATTTCGTTCTTTTTCCCCAAGGCAGTTCTGGCATAGCTTGGACTTGTGTTTTGGGTCATTATCTTCCTGTAGGATAAACCCCCGCCCTACTACGTGCATACCAGAGGGTATTGCATAGCACTCCACAATGGTGTGGTAATCATTTTGGTTAAGAGGGCCTCTCACTCTGTACAAGTCACCGACCATGAATTTGGCAAAACAGCCCCAGACCTTCACACTTGCCCCTCCATGTTTCACAGTTGATACCACACACTTTGGAATCATCCTTTCGCCAATTCGATGTACGTGAAGATTTCAAATTTTGATTCACCAGTCCATAATGCCTTCTTCCAGTCTTCAGTAGTCCAATGGTGGTGTTTCATGGCCCAGGCAAGCCTCTTTGTCTTATTCTGACGTCATAGCAAAGGCTTTCTTGCTGCAACTCATCCAGTCAACCCTGAAGCTCAAACTCTTCAATTGAAATTACTTACTATGGCCACTATTGAGCTGTGCTTGAAGCTGTTGTCCTGTGAGCCACCTATCACACAAGATGTTAGCTCTCAGAAACTTGTCCTCTGATTCATTTGCGGCGTTTCATCTGCCAGACCTCTTCCTGTCAGCATTTGCCCCAGTTTCTGAGTGCGTTTTGATGGTGAAGGAAACTTTATTCACTGAAACCTTTCTTTGTAATTTCTCAGTAGGAAAGACCTACATTTTTAAGTGTTATGCTGGTCTCTCTCTCTTCCATTGTTAATTGCCTTTTTTTCTCGCCATTTTTGTGGCAACACACCACTATCTGCAGTACAATACTGTTCACAGAGGCTCACGAGGGTTTGGTACCACAGTGTGTTCCAACATTGCTTTTATGCAGACAGAGGGGGTTGTAAGTAATCCAGAAAAACTGGAACACCTGTAGGAATTAGTTGCACTAGCTTGATCAGTTGCACTAGCTTCAGATTGATCAAGCTTGATCAAGCTTGATCAATCTCAATTGCTGCAAAACAGCTTTAAATTGTTAAAATATATTGTGTCCCCTGAAAAAGGCGACACGATTTTTGTATAATTCTGATATGCACATTATATTTCAGTTTTGGTTAACCTTACCTTTTTTTTAAGCCTCTGACAGTTCAGCCCTTCCCTTGCACCAGTTCAAGCTATTCATTGGACCTCAATGTAATGAATTGCAATAAATACTTGGAAAAACTGGGGTGTTCTAAAACTTTTGACCCGTAGTGTATGACAGACATTATGAGGTCTTTGTGTTCCCTAAAACCACAAGGAATGGGCTAAAATGACAACAACACATAATTATTCATGTAAAAACATGAATTTTGTATAAGTCTGTATTTCATACAGATAGATAAGTATAAGGGAAAAATATTACAACATCATAATATTTTGTGATGTGTGAGCTAGATGCAGATGCCCAAATCAAATTCATATGGCTCCGATCTTGATCAGATTTTTTTAGTATGGATTTCCATTCTCACCTATATCAAGCTAACTGATCAGCTAAAGAGGCAGTTGAGAAATTTATTTCTGTGCTAAATTTTGTGATGTCAAACATGAGTGTAACAGGAGGACTGATGGGCATTTCATAAGTACTGACTGTACTTCTATCCCAAAATCAAAAAATATTAAATAATAATGATAAATGTAAGAAGTGAATGCAGAATTACTGATTAATGTGAAGTTCAGAGCCCAGAGTTTATTTCCTGTATCTGATTCTAACTACAACTTTAAACAGAAAGATACCCTTTTGCCTAATGTGTATTAAATCATTCCACCGAGTCTAATCTAAGCTCTGCTTTGCAGGTGGTTCTGGTTGAGCTGGAAGAGATCACGCCAGCACAACTGGCTCTATTTCCAGAGTCAGTGCGTCATCTGAGGAAGAAGCAGGGTGCTGTGTGTTGGTGGAAGAACCAGAGGACGAGGGAAAGGTGGAAGACGTGCATGAGTGGAGCTGATGCAGAAAAAACTGGAACAGACTCACAGCTGTCAACATCCCTCTCCCCTTCCTCTAGGTTTTGGAAGGAACTGAGGTATCACATGCCTGTCCGGGGCAAGAGGGTAGTGTATCCTGAAACAATCGCCTTTCTGTAATTCTGATGGCGATCTGTGTTTGTCAGATATTGAACCAGAGAGTACCTGGTTTCTAATGTAAATGTGGCAGTTGCATTTACTCACTCACAGGTAGATCGTGGGCACTGTTATCAGAAGCAGTGACACCAAGACCCTGAGTCAAGTTTACAGCACAGGCAACTCCAAATGTTCTCTCAGCAGAGATGTCACCTTTACCTTCTGTGGAACTTTTCAAGTAACACATTGCAATGAGTATAAAAAAAGTGTAAGAAATGTGGAAAGTATTGGCTAAAGATGACAGCTGGTCATGGACAGATCAGTGCAGTCTGAATTGTCCACAGTTTGTATGCGAACTGCTGACAATCAGTAACAGAAGGGGCCTGAAAAATAATGCAGATGAAAATAGCTTGAATGGTCGTACAGTTATTTTATTACCACAATCCTCAACATCCCAGCTGACACTGGGCGATAGGCATATCAGGAAATGTACATATGTATGATTAAACTTGTAAATATGTAGAAAAAATATATAAATTAACATGTAAAAACTGTAAAGAGGAACAACCAGAAAAGTATACATTCATGATGATTTTTTTAATTTATGTATATTATTTGTAAAAACATCATGAAATGAGGCTGCATAAAAATCTAGGTTAAAATGTATGCGCTAACATTTTTAATCAATGATTTTTTTTTTACTTATGATTCTGGGAAATTGTAAATACTCTGTTTTCTATTTGAATTTTGTTTTAAAGTGTGACTATTTTGCAAATAAAAAGATTATTTTCAGTTTTTACTCTTTTCCATTCCTCCTCAAGAAACATACACCACAAAGACACTGGGTCTAGTATTATAGCGTGTTTTTTTTGTCAATTTACTTCACATTTCTGCTACACTGATTTTACTTAAATTATTGGGTATATTTATACACACACTTAGGATTTGAAGTGCCTTTAATTTGATTACAGATCATTTAGAATATTAGTTTGGGTTCATTCACCAACCAACTTCCGGTTAGTTTAAAGAGCAAGCATAATATAAACACTCAGTCGGTCACTATCAAACACTGGCTCATGTTAATTTCTTCCTTTAGCTTTCAATCCCTGCACTGCTCTCAACTTGCGTCTCAGGTCAGTCACGACTGGGAAGCGCCACTGTAGTTCAACCCTGTCGTGTCTGGTTCCAAGTCTCGTGGGCGTAGTCATTCGTTCCCTTTCATCATGCCCAGACGTGTAACTGGATCTCACTGGTCATAGACAAAAAGAAGGAAACAGACGAGAGTGAAACAGATACAAAGTTGGATTTTACAACAACGTCGAATATAGGAATTTTTAAAAAACAAACATTTGTTGATTTTTGTTTTAATGATGCTTTGAAAATCAAACATTTTTGTAAATCTTAGAAGTCATCATTACATTTCCACAACCATCAGATTATTTTGAACTTAACAGTGACTCATGATTTACAAGTCATTCGAGACGCCAAGGGAAAGAGCAGAAAACGGCATTTTTAACACTATTGCATGTTGAGAAAACTGTGATTGCCATTTCTGTCACGGACCGCCGGGGCAGACCGTGTGGAGTGAGTGGAGGACCCAAGAGCAAACAGAGGTGAGGACACAAAACCGGACTTAACAGAAGGCGAGCCTTTATTTAGGGCCGAAAACTTAAGGAACAAGGCAGCAAAGCAACTGAGGGAAAACCTGAACATAGACTGGGAAAACTATGGCTAAACAAAGTACAAACTAGGACTAGTTAAGGCTGGGAAACTATGACAAGGGGTAGGGGAGATAACACAGACGACGCGACGCAGACTACATGAAACACAGAGACTAAATACACATGAGGGATGATCAGGGGAAGTGGCCACACATGGGATCACAGCTGACACACATGAACCTAACGACAGGACAGGAGGGTGCAACTGAATACACTGACAATGAATACAGACTTACAAAGTAAAACAGGAAACATGGAAATTAGACATGACAAGAACTAAACATAACCACGCAGACAGGACTCATGACCCAGGGAAACTTAGTACAGGGGAGATGACATAACTGACAGCATGAACTTGACAGTACAAGACACACAGACATAAACACACAAAGGGCAAGGGAGACTTAATGCAAGGGTAATATATAGAAATGGCTGGACTACCTTAGACAACCTAAACAAACAATAAACATCAAAATAAGCTAAACATAACACACTGGGTCACACGACCCAGGACCATGACAATTTCGTCATTAGTGAAAATAGTCTTGTGATGACTGTCTGTAAAATTCTTTGAAACTGGAGAAGAAATTGTGACATTGTAGGAATATTTTTTTTAAAGTTTGGATAAAATCCAATATGTTGAAAAACGCCACAAAGAGCTTTGAGGTTTGAGAGAGTGGATCCTAGGGAACGTTTACATTTTTGTTTTGAAAATCTGGCTGACGATTTTCACAGATTGACGAAAAATCAAACTGCATTGTAAATGTAATAATCTGAAAACACTGCTCTGATTCAAGCTCCAACACAGTTTCTGGGAAGTTTCACAGCTTTTTCCAATAACGGATTTGCAGCCGCATCCGTGTTTGAACAAAAAAGTGTTTTATTGCTCTTTGAACAACTAACAATTCCCTCGTTTTTATTCATTCTTAAAACAGTGTCACACTAAGAAAAAGAATACGAAATATTGGCTTTGAGTTTAACTAAATAAACTGTTTTTAGAAGGAAGTACTTTTTAAATAAATAGTATTATGCAGCTGTCCTAATGGAATATTTCCAGGAAATGTACACTGCTAGTTAGTTAAATGCCATTACATTATTACATGAAAACAACTGTCAGTTTCAAATCTTAACCACCAACAACTCGACCTATATCTGTCAAGTGCTACTTAGCTGTGGTTGAATAACTGTGCCGCACCTGTACTGCAAAGCAAGTTGTACTTTTTTTCAGTTGAGAGGAAATTTCATACCGGGGTAGTGGAACAATATAAAATAATGCAAATACAGGAGGAGGAGTAGGAGGATGGAAAATCCAGCAAGTCACTGCAAGTTCACTGTACTGTAAGTGACAGGCAGACTTTCTGATTCATAATTCAGAGTAGAAAGTCAAAATTATAATTAAAACTACAGCTGTAATTGTTCAGATAGTTCTTTCTATTTTTGTAGTAACTTCATATACGTCACAGGTGAGTTTCGATTAAGCTTTATGATTACATCTTTTTTAAATACTTGGTGTAGGCTTCTTTGAATTTTATAGTACTGGTTTCACATTGACGTGGTTTCACTCTGTTGATTTTATCTTTGTCTTTCTGTTCAGCAATATTTCTTTTGATTGCTTTTACACAAAATATATTGGCAGCAGATTTTCAATTTTGGTCTTGACATCTATTTATTTAAGGCACTGAAGTTTAAATACTCAGCGACTGTGATTTTCACTTGCTTCACTGAGCTTTGGAAGGTTACCACTTTACAATAATGCAAACTTAAAGAGGGATATCTGAGTAAACTGTGAAAATATATAATAAATTGCCATGTAAAACATATATCAAGTGACGACTGAAGACCATTCAGGGTAAACCCTTACTTTAAGTATTTATCACAGCAGTTGTGAGATATAAGGCTTACTCATTTCAAAAATTGCTACAAAGTTTATTATTATGACAATTTTATAGGAATGTCATCATTGTTTTTCAAAGCCCAGAAATCCCAAAATTGGCATTATATTTTGGGAAATTTTGATTTTTTATTAATATGAAGTATTTTTAAAGAAATATGTGCTGCAGATGAACTTGCCCATAAATTCCCTTATATATAACCTGACTCCGATCCATTTTATGTTAATGACCAAAATGAGTATAATGCAGTGCAATTCATATATGAATTATTACTTTTCGATGACGTAACAAAGACGCATGAATGATTTACATCAGCAGAGAGTTACTGCAAATGACAAAGAGAATTTTTTTTCTCAACCTTTGACAAAGAAACACCAATCAGTGGAACTTCCTGGGACTTTACTGGGAGTGTTTTGGCTCTGACTTCCTTGTGAGAGCTGAGAACACTCCATCTTTCACTTCCCTTTAAGGGAAGCTGTGCTCCCCAGGAAGTATGTCAAGAAACTTGTATACACTGCAAAGAATACGCTCGCCTGACAGGATGGCTCGTGTTCTCAAGAAAATCACACCGGACTTTACTGAAATGCAGTCTGTTGATTCCCTCAGATAAGAACTATGGCAGCAGCAGGTTGGGTCTGCTTGGTGACTGTTCTGCTGTCTCTGTCATTTGTTGTGACGCGTGGTAAGTACTGATTCTCCAACTTCTTCTGAACACTTAGTTTCAGCTGAGCGACAAGCTCTGTCTGCTTTATGCCAATGTCGTGGGGTTAGCTGTCATGGTTTATAACCAGTTTAACTGGTTTAGAAACCAGTTAAACTGTCTGTTAAGATTTTCCTTAACAGACAGGGCAAACTGTCCTATAGCTTTGCCAAATACATTTATATGTATGTATGTATGTATGTGTATATGTGTATATATATATATGTATACACACATATTGTATATATGTACCCTAACTCAAATGTTACCATAAATTAATCATAAATCAATGATCAGAATAGATACTGGAATGAAAGCTGATTCTTCAGTGTTCCTTGTAGTGGATTTATCTATTCATACATCTGTGGTAGGGGACTGCACAGAATGCATACGGCAGTATGATAAAATCTCTATTCAACTGATAGGTTACCTGGGTAGGTTTTGCTATCAAGACAGACAATCACGACAGAAAAAGATAAACTGTGGTTTGATGAGTAAAAAAAGCATACCCCTCAACATTCCTCTCACGACAATGAAGTGATTCTGATAGACGATAACGTCAAAAAAACAACAACTGAAAGGTCTGTGGGGTTTTTGATGATTATATAGGTCAAGGAGACCAAACATTTATACTCAGACTTTGATGTGTGAATCTCCAGGAAGCGTCTTAGCTAAAAGATGTCAGCATTAAAGTTGCAGCACCTGTGCACGTCAGGCTGAACATAAAGGACAAGGTTTTATAAAATGCTCCAGCAGAGCCAAGGATCCCTCGCCAAGCGTGGCGCCAATAATAAAACAGTTGACTGTAATAAGCAGAGTAATAATCTTTTTAAAAGTACTACTCTAAATATTCTGTTATACCTGAATACTTTGATACAGGCTAGCTGACATGACTTACCTCCATATTATTACATGGAGGTAAGCTATACACAGATAAGAAGTATTAGTGTAAGACAAATATTAACAGCTATCTGCTAAAATTACTAAGCGTTGCTAAGATACGGCTGCACGTTGCACTTTTGTCAGCTGGGTTTGACTAGCTGTGACGAACAAATGCTTTAGAATTACCTGAATTTCACAAGGTTCGCTGACGCAGCCTTACAACTTCACTAACAGTTAGACTGTGTAATACAAATTTCTTCTTCTTCTTACAGTAAACTGGCATGATGAGCTGAAAACAGTGTTTATATCTTGTTAATCCTTTAAACCCTGAAACATAAAATCATTTTATAATTTTTTTGATAAATTAAAACGAAAAAAAGAAATGTGCAAAAGTGCAATTTAATGTTCACAGTAATGTGAAGTACAGTATAACAGGTTTAGGATTAGGGTTAAAAAACGGATGATGTTGAGGTCTAAAAAAAACCCCGATGAGGGTTATGTCTCATCAGTTAATGCTGTATGAGGTGTTCCACTGATGACAGATTTACAGCTTTGACAGGAAGTGGCAAACAAGACTCTTCCTCACTGTTTGAATAATCTGCGCCCAGGATGCAATCTTGAGCAATAGTGGAAAAGGCAGAACATAAATTGCCTACAGTTTTTAAAATCCCATAACCTTTTTGTCGTTAAACAAGCGAAAATGCAAACATTAGCAGCGGTTTCTATTAACACTAAACGCTTAAACATTTAATGTAAAAAGCACCAATTTAGAACAACTGCACATTCGTGAAAAATCCAGTTTGCCTACTGTCCATAGCTGAATACACACAAGCTGTGGCAAGAAGTGCGAACATAGTGTGTAAAATTTCTAAACAAATTTGATATATTTTGATGTTTATTTTAATTCCGTGAAATGTCGTTCTAGCTGTCTGTATGAAAAGCTTCAGAAAGCTCCTGCACATTACCATAAACAGGAGGGAGCCTATGGTAATATGTAATAAGGGCCTGTCTGATTGTGTGATTTTTAATAATAAAAAATACATCATCACATTGGGCTGATAACCTCGTTTTCAGGTTTGTGTTCTCAGCCCATTGACCAAAACTTCGTTGTGGCTCCTCAACTGTGCCTGAAGACTAAATATGTTAAAACACGTGGGTATTTTCTACCACAGTAACAATCTTGTTAACCACAAACGTCATGTATCTCTGACATTGTGAATAGCAAAGTATTTTAGATAGCTCTAAAAGTGCTGACTCTTCAGACCAGTCAGAATATAACTTGATAAAAATAACTTTGCACATATCTGCAACATCCATTTGACTAAGTAAAACTTAGATAACTAAAAACTCAAGAAAAAGGTAGAAATGATTTGGTACAGTTTGTGCAGCAACTGCTCTGTGTCAGAGCAAACATTTAACCACTTACCACAGGTTGCTGCATATCTCATACTGTTTGCTCAGCACAAAAGTGGCACAAAATATGATTATCATAGAATTTCATTTACATCCAATACACCATGATAGCCTTCTCCTTGTCTCCCTTAGGTGCAATACTACAAAGTGTAAATTTTCGATGCAACATACTATTTTATTCTATTTATAAAGTATTATATTCTATTGTTTTCTTAATTTTTGGTGCTTGTAACTTTGTACTGTCCCCTTTCTGCCGTGACCCAACAAATTTCCCATGTGTGGGACAAATACTGGTTTATCTTATCTTATGTTATTAACAGACGGGGAAGAAAAACGGGAAAGCATCCCTAGTTCTGTTTACAGATGCCAAACAGTTACTATTAAATTCAATAATGAAGTGGTGGTGGTGACATATCTTTGCACACCTGCATGGACGTGCATAGCCCTTCTCAGTGGTTGATAACCTGCAATATTAGAAGTTAACAAGTTGCATTAGTCATTGTTACGAAATGTTTGCTCTTTGACTGTAGCAAGACACCCATTTCCAGGAATCCATATTGGTGTTGTTCTACTTTGGACATGGCATTCACAGCTTGGAAAAGAACACAAATGTCTTTTCATGGAAGTTTGGAAGTTGGCTAACAGCTAGCTAGGTCCACCAAGGGGTGTTTGTCCTAAAAATATCTTTTATAAACAGTATGAAAGATGGGCCACCATCAGGTCACCCATGAGTTTTCAACTTTTGAAACTTCAGTGTCAGCATTTTGGTCCGACACTAGCTGGAGGTATTTCCCTGCCTTGTTGTTGTTATCTTTATGAATGACCTAACATTGGTTGTGTCCTTGACATGCCATAAATGAAAAGAAGAACAGAAAAGAACAAACAGTTGTAAACAGAAACTCTACGGCGAGTGACAAGATGGGTTAAATCGCAATGGGCATTGATGTTTTCACACATTTATTCTGAGGAGAATTAAATTTGTTACCCAGAGCAGAGGTAATCCTAAGGTATTATTTGACACCATTACTGGTATTATTACTCCTGCTCCACCTGCTGCCCCCAATTTCTTCAAATGAAGATTGTGAAAAATTTCTTTCTTTCTTAATAGAATTTTTTTTTTAGTAATGTAAGAAAACATTTTTCCCCATCAGCATTTCTTACTCCAGCTCGGCCTGTTATTTGAGACAGCTTTTTATCGGTTTCACTAGCCGAGCTGGAAAAATTAGTTAATTCAAAGAAAGTATCCTCCTGTTCATTTGACAGTTTACCTGCATCGTTACTCAAAAATGTCTTCCAGTCTATCGGTCCCTGTGTGCTCACCACAATTAACACTTCACTGGTAAAGTCCCTGTGCTGTACACCCCATCTAAAAAAAAAACAGTAGTTACAGGCCAATCTCAAAATTACCACTAACTGCTACGATTTTAGATATGGTTGTGGCTAAGCAGCTTACAGCAGTTTTGGACAAACACGATATTCTTGACAAATTTCAGTCTGGCTTTCGTAGACCTCATTCTACTGAAACAGCCCTTCTTAGAGTCTCCGGTGACATTTTGATGCAAAACGATGCAGGAAAATGTTTTGTTTTGCTGATGTTGGACCCGACGCCAGCTATGCATTGCTTTTAAGCCCCAAGATCTATCTATGCTGCAGATTCTGAATGAGTGCTTAGAATCCATTAAAGGTTGGCTGGATGACAACTTTCTCCAACTTAATGAAGGACACACTGAAGTCCTTGCATGTGGCTCCTGACTTGTACCTATGATAATGAATGCTGGTCCCCTTTCGACATTTGTGAAATCATCTATCAGGAACCTAGGGTTAACCTTTGACTCGGCTCTCACATTGGATGTCCATGTCAAATCTCTGATTTGGTCTTGCTTTTATTACTTAAGAAACATTGCCAAATTAAGTCCTATTGTATCTCGTACTAAACTGGAGATTATTATTCATGCATTCATTTCATCACGTTTGGACTACTGTAATTCACTGTTTACATGTCTAAGCAAAAACTCCCTGGAACGTCTGCAGGTTGTTCAGAACGCTGCAGCAAGGCTTTTGACCAAATCCTTGAAGTACTCACATGTGACTCGGTAGTCTCTTTTAAAAACAACTAAAAACACATCTTTTTAGAATTGCATTTTGTTAACTTTTTGTCTGTTTTTGTTTTATACCTTGTTATCTCTGTGTAAAGCACTTTGTGATCTTTTGTCTAGAAAGGTGCTATATACATAAAATGTTACTTACTTTACTTACTTAGTCCTATTCTGTTCTATCTGTTCTTCTTTTGGAGTAACATGTCTTCCTTGTAGATTGATATATTTTTTTTAACATCTTACATTAAATGACAAATAGTTGTTCTCCTGTTGCACTGTCACCTACAGACCACCGTGGGGAGATAGATACCTTCCATGTAAGTGCTGGCCATTTCTTTTTGCTGAATTGCTACACAGCAGAGGCTCATGACGTCGTGATCTGGAGCAGAGGGGAGAGTAAAGACAATCTGAGCCTGCCCACTGGAGTGGAAGTGAGGGACAGGTTACTTTGGTTTCTACCTGTCCAGATGTCCCACAATGGATCTTACACCTGTCAGATAAGGTATAAAAATATCTGTATGACTTCTCTTGCATGAGTTCTCCTGATCCCTGCAGTTCCATGCTTCTAGTATATTTATAAATGTGCTTTAACACACATGCACAGACAAACACAACCTACTTTATAATAAAATGCTGTAAAACCTAACAGTTGTATGCAGGCTATGATCAAGCTTTGTTGTATTGGAAACCCTTTGTCACTCATCCAAGTGACTTCTTCAGAAGTCTCCAATGAAAACGCGACGTCCAGATGAACAAAATCAACCTTTTGCGACCTGTTTTATAAGATATGCCAACTAACCTACTAACTGGATTTTAACATCTGTAAATCTTTGATGTTGCACTTTTAGGAGACTGTGTGAAGGTTGTACTGGGAGCATATGGAGCCTCCTATACAACAGGGAGACGGGATTGGCAATTTCTAAAAATGAATGTGTTATTTATCCAGGAAATGATCAAACCATTAAGAGCAAATGAGCAACTGGATAAATATCCAAATAAATAAAAGTATTTAGTCAGCCAAAGTACCAGCTACTGTGTGTGCAAACCTGGTAAAGACCTATAGTAAACGTTTGACCTCTGTTATTGCCAACAAAGGTTATGTTACAAAGTATTGAGTTGTATTTTTGTTATTGACCAAATACTTATTTTCCACCCTGATTTACGTATAAATTCTTTACAAATCCTACCATGTGGATTCATGGATTTTTTTTTCACATTCTGTCTCTCACAGTTGAAGTGTACCTCTGGTGCAAATTACTGACCTCTGTCATCATTTTAGGTGGGGGAACTTGCACAATCGGTGGCTGACTAAATACTTTTTTGCCCCACTGTATATGAGAGGAGGGATATCAAATCTCCTCAGTTCCAGCCTTCAGGCAGTCTCTGTACGTGTGTGTGCTAATTTATATTCCTAATGGATGTTTTTTTTTTTTATCTTATATCTAATTAGTGCTGAACAGATATATAACTTCAGCTTATCAGTGGAATAGAGGCATAACTGAAACATCAATTCAGATTTTAGTCATATTGTCTGTAACCATTTAGGATAAACAAAAAGTACAGGGATATTTCTTGCTGTTGGCTTTACAATTCTTTTTTGCTTCTTTTCAGGAATCAGCCCGGAGTATTATTACGGAGGCTAAAGTTTTGGGTGTCAGTGTCTAGTGGAGAGTGTCCTTATACCGTTGAGAGCATTTCCATCACAAAAGGAGTGAGCGACAGTCTTCCTTGTAAACAGAAAGAAATCTTCGGCCTGAATAGCGTGGTGAATGTACGATGGATGAAGGTATAAAGAGGCCTAATACACTTGTTTTACTGCATTGACATGTTTGCCTTGTTAGGACCTGATTTGAGTACAAAGAAAACTGTTGCTCATCAATATTATTTTGCACCTAAAAAAGCTGGCTGAAGAACGTACTGGCGGTCTGGTCTCTGCCCTCCATATACACCAATCAGGCATAACATTATGACCACCTGGTCCCCCTTTTACTGTCAAAACAGACATTACCCCTCGAGACATGGACTCCACAAAACCCCGGAAAGTGTGCTGTGGTATCTAAGCAACAGATCCTATAATTCCTATAAGTTGGGAGGTGGAGACTCCATGGATCAGGCTTCTTTGTCCAACACATGGCAGGGTGCATTATCCTGCTGCAAGATTCCACAGCCATCAGGGAATACTGTTTCTATGGGAGGTCATACATGGTCTGCAGCAGTGCTTAGTTAGGTGGTACATGTCAAAGTTACATCCTCAGGGATGGTTTCCCAGCAGAACGTTACCCAAAGCAAACTGTGATCCACTATGTATTCTGACACCTTTTAATCAGAACCGACATCAACTCTTTCAGCATTTTGAGCTACAGTAGCTCGTCTGTTGGCTTGGATCACACTCCAGTTTTGGAGACGCTCTCACCCAGCTGTGTGGCCATCACAATTTGGCACTTGTCAAACTCGGCTCAAATCCTTACGTGTGCCCATGTTTCCTGTTTCTAACACATCAACTTTGAGGGCAAAATATTCACTTGCTGTCTAAGATATCCCAGCCAGTAACAGGTGCTAATAAATCAGTTTTATTCATTTCACCTGTCAGTGGTCATAATGCTATGCTATTGGTGTATAATCCCATTTTATGGAATATAATATCATGAAGAGTGGACAGAGACAATTGCTGATAAACTATCAGTGGAAACAGCAGATATAAACTAGGCTAGTTTATACACAATCGCTCCACCTAAAGTGCTTAGGTGGGCCAAATCCCAGGCTTCTGTTTTACAACTTCCATAAATGCAACACTGCCCCCTTCTGTAGATATCAGGGGAAAATGTGTGCCAGATCTGCCCCCCTGGCAGATAAGACTGGTTGCCACCCAGGCCAGCAACAATGTAGTACTATGCATTTTGTTACCTGGAAACTTGCGACCAACACATTTTGAGATCACTATGCCAGTTTTTTGCTTTTTATTCATGTTTTCCTTTATTTCTGGCTCTTCTTTCTTGTCTTGAGGCTCAAAAATGCCTCTCAAAAATATGGCACTGTGAAAACTAACTACAGGATTGGTTTCTGTCTGCAGGATTGCCAGCTCATTCAGCGGCAAGGGAAACCCATCTCTGTTGATATGAAAGGCAACATGAGGCTTCCTCAAGCCTCAGAGGAGGACAATGGGAAATATACCTGCCTGATAGACATTAACTTGGATGGCAGGAATTATACCGCTTCACGCAGCATCCTGTTGACTGTTAAAGATGGTAAGTACTGTAGAGCTCTCATATTGAATCCTTAATTATTCTGGTGTCATTTTTTAATATATTACTCTGGCTGTACATAATTATTATTATTATTTTGTTTTGTTTAATCATAGACTTGAAGACTTAATTCAGGGGGTTTAACAAAAAAGAAATAAATCATTGGATGCTTTGGCATACGAGTTGTATCTCTCCATTTTCATTATTTTTCTCTTCTTCTCATGCTGTTGTAAGTTAAATATGTCCAAAGATGTTTTCTCAGAACACGCAGGCTCTTCTTGTTTTTGAGTGTGAACAGTGGTTTTCACCATCTGGTAAACCATCTGTATTTACATTCATAAAGGCATCTCTTGATTGTATATTCTAGACTCTGATAACGACACCATATTTCCTTGAGTGTTTACAACTGTGGTAAATGTTGTTTAGCCTTTTTTTCTTAAATCATGGACTCTAGTAGGTTTGTTTGGTCTTCTGGGGCCAGATTCATTTCCTTAATTTGCATCAACGTCTCAGTGAATTTCACAAGTTCCAGTGAAATGCTGAAATACAAGTTTAGCTATTGGACTCAGATCCAGATCTCTTTAATTAACTTTGTTTATCATGGAATGACGAGGCAACAGGCCTCATCTCCCATACTTTTGAGCGTCTGAAAATGGGGGATTATGGATAAAAACGAGTGTAATTCCTAAAGAGTTCATGCAAAACCTCGGTTAAACCTCTTGAATTAAAGCTAAACATCTGCACTTCAATCACATCTTGTCTGATTTAAATTAGCCTGTGATGGTGTACAGAGGCAATATATACAAATGCTTATGGAGCTAAATGTATATTGTCCCACTTTCTTTGTTTTTCCTTCCTTCTTTCTTTCTTGCAGACCTCCCAGAAAAAGTTTTTGTAGAGCCACAGCTGGTGACCCCTGACAAGCAAGAGATTACAGTTGAACTAGGCAAGTGAAACACTAAATAAAATGCATTAGAGTGAATGTTAGTGCTATGGAAAAATATTATAAACACCTTTAAATATCATGAAGTCATTTACACCATTATCCATTTATTGACTGTATGATCTTTATGATAAATACTTGACTAACAGTTGTTTTTCAAGTCAAGATGACAATAAAGTCCTTTGTGCTTTGTCATCTAGCGACTGAACAGAATTAGTCAGAAGCCTTTTGAAAAGTTTCCGTGACGTTAAATTTCATTTGAGCTAACTTCATATTTTTGTTTGATCAAAACGGGAAATATAGACTGACAGTTTCTTTGTTTTTTAATCTCACTGCCCACCAGGTTTGAGAGTGGAGCTGCAGTGTTTAGCATTCATAGGCTACAGTGAGGATAACGAGTCTTCACTGCACTGGACTGTTGGCAAGGATTTCGCTGAGGACCTCGAGGAGATTAGTGTGTCCCGGAAAACGTGAGTTTTACATTACCATGGACGGGGCTATTAATAGAAATACAAAACACTGCATTATACTGCATCGAGATTAAATCAAAACAACACAATGTGTCAGACATTAAATGTCACTTGGAGGCAGAACTTCTTTTCTGAGTAATAGACTGTAAATGTTGCAACTGTAGCAGCACAAAAAACTTAACACCTAACATTTACATATTATTCTTTGATTCCATGATTCATTCTGACTGACTGATTGTTTCTGTACCCTTTAGTATTCATAGAGAAGGCAAAGTATACGAACTGGTCATTCTGTCCATCGCTAAAGTTCATCGCAAGTTCCTGAATTTTGAGTTCGAGTGCCATTTAGAAAGCCTAGCGGGAGAACAAGTCAGTGTGGTGAAGCTTAAAGAAGGTAATAAAGATATATATAGACATATACATATAAATGTGTGTGTGTTCAAGAATTATAGTCGTCTGAGACACTTGCCTTACGTTTGTCTCCTTCCTCTCTCCAGCTGACCGCAGTTCTTTCCACATGAGTTGGGCTTTTTGCCTTTCTGCATCTCTGGCTGTTCTAGCCTTGGCTGCGTGCTTCTTCTTCTTTAAAGTAAACCTGATATTGGCTTACAGGGATCTGTTGGCACATTTTCCCAAACAACAAGGTAAGGCCGTTATCAGTTGAACTTAAGTTTTTGTGTGGCATCATCTGACGAGATACTACTAACCTTACAGCACAACTAACACAGTACTGAAAGCCGTGAAAGCTGGATGTTGATTCACATTTTAAAAGGATCAAACTTTATAAAATGAACATAAACAATCATTTAGATTCTGTCAGTTCCAGATGGGAAGCTCTATGATGCCTACGTGAGTTTCATCCATTCCAATGCCATGAGTTCAGATGAGGGCACGAGGTTTGCCATGCAGATCCTGCCTGAGAAGCTGGAGGAACAATATGGCTACTCTCTGTTTATCAGAGGACGGGATGACTGTCCTGGCGAAGGTAAGAAGCAGATATCCATAATATGTAAACAGAGGTAGAAAGACTTGTCTTTCTAGATGTAGTGTAATTCTTGAGGTTGTTAAGGTCATTCTCCAACCCCCAAAAGACGGGAAAACATACAAAGGCTTTGAGCTGTTTATTGTCACAAACTGCTGTTCACAGTTTTTATTAAATTAAGACATCAAATACATAACCAACGAATCTAAATCAGTTGCTATGATGCTTTCAGGTAAAAGACAAGTAGAACTAGTTGCATTTTAAATGTGGTTAAATTAACGTTTTTAATGACTTTATAAAACAAGAACTGGTTGCTTGATTTTCATTTTGATTTTCTCTAATGCACACAGACTCAAAGAGTCAAATATATACATACACTCACTTAACCCTCTAATAAGTGGTGCTGAAGCCTCTACAACAGGGGTCTCAAACTCCAGGCCTCAAGGGCCGGTGTCCTGCAGGTTTTAGATCTCACCCTGGGTCAACACACCTGAATCAAATGACTAGTTCATTACCAGGCCTCTGGAAAACTTCAGACATGTTGAGGGAGTAATTTACCCATTTAAATCAGCTGTGTTGGATCAAGGACACATCTAAAACCTGAAGGACACCGGCCCTCAAGGTCTGGAGTTCGAGATCCCCGCTTCTACACTATCTGTTAACTTGACAAGACCAAGGCCTATTATCTTTGTGCTACTAAAGTCATCAGCGATTACAACTGATGTTGTAGTCAGTCAATATTTCTCTTTGCCAGCATGAAAAGGATTTGTTTGACAGCACTCATTAGATTGACCAATACTCAGGTCTCAGTGAAGATCTAAGAAGGACAATTGTAGATTAGGGCTGCCACAAACAATTATTTTGATAGTCGACTAGTCACCGATTAATGGATCATGCATCCATTGGACGTAAAACGTACAGCTTATTGCACCAGCAGGCATCTGCTCTTATATAACTATCATTAGCTTACAGCTTTAAGTGTTTAAGGTATGTGCTAACTAAAAATAAAGACAAGATGATAGTTTATTAAATTTTAATGAAATCTGCAGATTGTTTCAGTGAAGTTTAATAAACTCAGCCGTCTGCTTCTTGCTATCTAAAATCTAACGGGACACCGGAGAATATTCTGAGCATCTCACACTTCTGATGATCAGCTGTCTGCTTGAGTTTACTCAGTTGTGTAGAAACTATAACTTTAATCTCAGCCAAACCGATTTACTCAGGAACAAATAAAATACTAAAAAAGCCAAACAATAACATTTTTAAGTTATCAAGTGACTTATATTACATGTTTAACCTGAGTAGTGAAAGACGGCGGTGGGTTTGAAAACGATTTGCCGGGAGTCCGGTGTTCTCACGGGTTCTGGTGAGCCTTGCCCCCCGGCTAGCTATCGAGCTAGTGGGTAACAGACGTCTCCAAAAACGTCGGAGCGCTTTTGAAAATATGCGGTGTCCTGATAAACTGAGCAGATATTTGAGGTTTACACAGCTACATTCTCACCTGAAAATATGTTAAACGTTTATTTTGTGACCCAAAAAGAATAATAAGAGTAATATTAAAACTAACTAGCTTCCGCCATTGTTGGAAACTGAGCTGGGCCGAGCTATGAATCCTGGGACACAGCTTCTTCTTCTTCGGGGTTTAACGGCAGCTGGCATCCTTGTGCAGTGCTGCCATCTTCTGTTTCAGTCCGTTATTACACTCTTAAATCCTACTACTTATTCCTGCGTCTTTTGGGATCTTACAAAGCTTCAAACGACGCGTCGACTATTAAATTAGTCGTCGACGATTTCAATAGTCGACGTAATCGTGACTAGTCGACTAATCGTGGCAGCCCTATTGTAGATTTACAATTGGTAAGGGAAGGTCTGGAGTTATTGTTAAACAACAGCAGGTTCCAAGACCCTCAGTTCAGAACTCTAACTACAAATAAGTACAAGATTTTTGGATGCGCCACTGCTTTGCCACTATCTGGAGGATGACCAAATAATGTTGTCCTCAGATCAGAGAACATTAGTTAGGAAAAACTTCAGCGGAACCACCAGGACTCAAGCCTGCCATGACCTGGAAGATAAAGTAAAGGCTGTTGAACCAAAGAACACTGTAACAGCTGTGCCCCATGGTGGCGGCATTGCTATCGCATTCATTCTCATGATGAGTGTATCTAAACCTTTGACCACAACTGTATCTGTAAGAATTCTGTTTATAGTTGCAAAGAAAAGAAAAAGAAAGAGAAGCTTGAAAAGAAAATAAGAGCTTCTTGGTTAAACTCCTAGTATAATACATGGGAGAAATTGGATAAAAGCCATGTTTACTAAATTACTGGAACACAGTACAGTACAGTTAAAAACAGACTTAATACTTTCTTGAGCTGATGTCTAGCTATCCTCTGTGTTTCTGTTTTTCCCTTTTCTTTTTGTGTTCTTATTGCTCTAGTTTATTTCCTTTATGTTTGTATTGGTGATACATTGCAATTCAATTCAGTTTTTATGTATATAGTGCCAAATCACAATAACAGCTGCCTCAAGGCACTTACAAGGTTCTTTAATTTTATTAATGCAGACTAAACTGGTAAGTTAAAAAAAGAAGAAGAAATGAGTGCCTGGAAGAAGTCACAGTTCTGCCCAAAATTATAGTTTGTGCCGTGGAAATGGGCTGTTTTCAGTTTGCAGACAAAGAGTTTTAACCTGCAGTTTTGTGTCTGGCCATGAATCTCTTACAGCAATACACGATGCAACAGCTGCTGCGATGCACCAGTGCCGCAGACTGCTTATCATCTTATCACCTGAGGGGAAAACGGAGGAAAGCACTTGCATATGTGACAATCAAAGCCAAGTGTGGTATGAGCAGAAAGTTGGCCTTCATGATGCTTTGACGAAGAATGATCCCAGAGTTATTCTGGTGGAAATTGGTAAATGATTCCTCATTTTTCAAAAACCTCTAGCCACATGAATTCTGATAAGTCACGGGTTATATAGCTCAGCATTCATGCCCTATTTAGTCATGCATAATTCTTTGCAGGCATCACAAACAGAGATTTACTTCCAGCTTTTATGCTAAGCTAACTTAGTACATTTTGATAAGGAATAAAGTGTGTTCATCTCTGGACTTGTTGCACTCGGTCAGGACTTTGTTTAATAAAAATTAAAATGTCAGCTTATTAAACGTGTTTATTTTCATTTATATTTAAAATGTTTTTCTTTTTTGCCAGATGGTCCAGTGGATTACAGTCACTTGCCAGAGTCTCTGCGTTATATCAAGAGGAAACAAGGAGCCCTGAAGTGGAAGAAAGATTTTCTTGCGACACACAAATTCACAGAATTATACTCAAAGAGAAACTTTTGGATAAATCTCAGGTACCACATGCCCCCAGTACCTACAAGAAGGCTCCAAACTATTGTCTAAACAATATCTTAAAGTTTTATTGATGGGATTCATCCATCAGGCCTGTTTCTTGGAACACTTGACAAATGGAAACTTTACGTGCTTACAGCTGTTGTCACCTGTATTTTTAAGACTCACTAGGACTACAATAAGCAAGCCCATACATTCTTCTGCACAATGAATTTCACAACATGTGCAACAAGGATGGAGGCATCTGCTGGACTTTTCTATTGGTGCATGTTTGCTATTACTTCCTTCATAAGTGATAGCAATACATTTTTTCTACATTTGAATTGTATTTTTTTATGCACTTATAATATATCATCAGGCATGCTAGCAACTTTTAAAATTGCACCTTTCCTTTATAGAAGGGCTGTGTACATACATATGTGTACATATTTGAAAGGATAATTATTTTTTATGTTGACAGCATTGCTTATTTTTATATTGAATGATAGATTTTTGAATGATACATATTTATATTCTGTTATTTAAGTATTTGTGACTGAGTATAAATGTTTAAGTATTATATATTTTGTATTCTTTTTTTCCAAGTTTCCCTTCCAAGTATGGCTTACTGATTGTGTCTCTTCATCACATCAGTTTACTCAGAGGAAAAGATTAAAATTTATTCAGTACAATAGTTTGAGGCAATGGCATTCCATCAAGACAAGCACCTAGTCAAATTCAAAATTAGACATTAATTAAAACATAGCAAGAGGAAGCAATATCTCTACTTTCGTGTCAAACAGTGCTCTGTCATGATGTGCGTCGCCTGTTTGCATTCATCCCTATCCCTACATCACTAGAATATTCTGGATGCTACTGGGTATAATTGTCGAAAGCTGCACTTGCCTGGGATCTCAATGGAAACAGTAGCGTGTCTCTGTTTTATGGGCATGTCTGTGTCCCATGAACGATAGCTGGAGCTTGTCAAGCCAAGAGTCCAGCAGCTTTTTCTGACTGATTTTGCATGTTCATTGTGTATAAAGTCCAGTCTTTAATGGGAGACTGATAGAATATTAGTGCACTAGACAAGATGCTTCACTGCTGTCAGATCAAGTGACAGCTTTGCTTTGTGTGGAAACACAGCTAGCATTAGCAACTAGAGTCTTCTGTGATAAGTTTCCTCTTATTGGCCATCTTGGACAATATGTGTGATGCAGAGGAATTAGAGTGCTGTGTAACTGTAATTATACAGCACTCTAAAGGAGTAATGTGTTAATTACTCCTTTAGCACATTAGCAAGGTAAAGCTTGATAATAAGGAGTGAGCGCAAACAGAAGAGGTGCAGTCTCATGTTCAGGGACAGCCACTACAAATATGATTAAACGGTGAGTATAAAGCATTTAAAAATTAGCTCAGCCTTAATAACTTTGGCAGTATTTTTTATCTATACAACACAGATGAGGAACATTTCACCACAGCTTTGTTTATAGTGTTTTATTGCCACTTTTGCTAGAAGAATGGTTTTAAAAAATCCCTCCATTCTTCATGGTCACCTAATAGTAAATTAATTTCAGTAATGTAGAAGATATTTAACTATACAGGTAAAAATATTTACAATTTTCAGCCAGGTTTGAATATAAGCGCAAACATGTCCATGTAAGAAGGCTGTTAGCATTTGAAACATCTCTTTAAAAAGGTGTTGCTGTTTTGTATTATGATTTAGTGCTTTGTATGCTGAAGAACAGGAAACCAGTCACAACTGAATCAAGTCATTTTAAGGGCAATACACCTTAAACACAAGATATCATGATCTTGAAGTGGAAAAACCTCTAAATGGAAAACTCCCCTAAAAACAGTGTGCTAATATTAGCCAGCTGATGTTTTGGAACCTTCCAAGATCCTCCGTTTAACGGAAAGACACCATCTAAATACACAAAATAACCATAATGCTGCGCTTTTTCTTGTTAACAGTGCTGTGTCCCTTCCAAAGGCCAGATGGTGCTAGGGGAACCAGATAATAATAATAATAATTTAATAAAAATAAGTTTGTGTGTGAAGAGGGCCAGGTTTGTAATTTAGATTTATTGAAACACAAATATATCCAGATATATGCAATTTAAACACAGTAAAAGTTTGCAGGTTTGACACTGATCCAATCTCCTCTTAAATAAGTACAATACGCATACACTGTATACATGCAGAAAAAGATAAATGAAAAATTAAACATTCAGAAATGTAAAAGCATCTCTAAAACTATTATAAAGATTTTATACTATACTGTCAAAGACTTAAAGACAAACCATAAAATTAAATTTCATGACTTAGAAATCAGTGGCATATTTAACAGTTTTTGATTATTTTCAGACTAATCCTAACTGATACTTTCTGTGCACTTTGTGCAATTTGTTTTCGGTGTATAAAAAAAATCCCCTCTTTTACTTATCTTGGTCATTTGATCTCCGTGTACTGCCAGCATCCTGTGTTTGCGGTTTTATGCAGCGGGAGTCGTCGGTCTCTTTCTGTTTGTGTTGGCTGTCACCTAGACTTTATTCCTGACAAAACAGATTTTCTCAGAATTTTCTGAGCACTGACAGCTATAAAAGGCACGAAATGACAGATCAAATCATGTTACCACTGCTTGTCTATATATGATCTATATATTGGAGGGGTTCTACTTTTGGCTATCACCGAACCCATTTCCTTGCCTTAAATCTGATTGCCTGAAAACAGCAAAACCTAGTGAGTTCACTAACAGGTCACTCATCTGAAAAATGTTTCTCAACAGCATATCAACACACTTGAACGATGTAAATCTGCTTAACTTCAGCGTATTACGAGCTTGTATATATGTTATCATTCTCATAGTGATATTTAGCTCAAAGCATCCAAATCTGGCTTCAGCTTCAGAGCTGCTGTGCGGGCTGAACTTTAAATTATATGCAAACATATTATAACTTGGTGCTAAATATTGAGTAAAGACTGGTGAGAAAGGAATTAGTCAGTTATGCACTAGCATTACTCATAAATGATTCTCTCATTCATCTGTAGATGGATGTACTGCTGGAACCCAAGATAATATAATGCATCAATCTCGCATGTTCCTGAGAAAGGCTTTCCACCCACATTAACAAACTTTGTGTTCTTAGGGAGTGGGATTCCCCATCAGGGACTTCAACAATCAAGCTGTTCCTCTCCAAGTCTTGAACAATTTCCTCTCTTTGGTTACCTCCTAATTACAGCTTTTTCCCCGTTAAACTCGCGTAACACGCAGGTCCAGCACACCAACAGTTTCCAATCCAGTCTCTTTATCACAACAAATCCACATAAATTCTAATTAAAGTGAATCAACTTCCTGATGTCACTGATTATTTTAAGAGCAAAACCCTCCAGATCAGGTTAAAACTATTTTCCTTTAAAATGTTCACTTATCTCACTGGAGTCTCCAATTTCAGCCGGCTTCCCTTCTCCAACTGTGTCCTACAGAAAAACAAAGAACATCCTTCCTGTTTTCTCTCCCCTTTATTGAGAAGGGCTCAAATCATTACCAATCAACTACTCTCTGTACTCAACTCTAAATAGCTGGCAGCTGGAGAAGAGCTGCAGAACACAAAGACAAAACACAAAAACACCAAAGCATGCAATAACTCAAATGGAAGATGATGCCAACTAGGGCTGGGCGATATGGCCTAAAATTCATATTGCAATATAATTTGAAGCA